GGGAACAGTTAAATACCCATTTTTCCATTTGATGTCTTTGTCCCTTTGAGGAGATTACCCTTCATTTCCTGTCCCATATACACAACAGAAAGTCAGGGAAATATTGCCATAGGTAAGATTTTTCCTTTCACCTCCCACTCTGGTGATAACATTTCCTTCATCACTTTCTTTTCTGGTGGCAATGGTCCTCAAGACAAGTAGAAAGGGTGAAGCTCTCCAGGGAGAAGCCGTCACTACAATCCTGATGGGTTTTAAAGAACAGGATTACTTTTTCCAAACTAAAGCATTGTGGTGCGGTGGGAAAAGTAGTAGTAAGGTGGGAAAAGTAGTAGTAGAAGTGAACAGGCCTTTATGCTTCCTCTGCAACTGCATTTTCTTCAGCACTGGACAGACTTGAGCACTTAGACATAGACTTGAACGTCTAATGACAATCTCCAATCTCGATATACGCCACATTCAAGTCCACAGGGGCTAAAAAATAAATTTTTGTGCAGAGAAAGAACACTGGAATGGGCTTTTCGCGGAGGAAAGGAGCTGGGGTTGGAGAGATGCAATAGGCACACCTGTCCATCAACCCTTCCCTTTTACTGAAACTAATAAAAAAAAAGGTTTAGCCATGCTTGAATAATGTCACTCTTTGTATGCTGCCCAAAAACAAAGCAGCAGAAACATTTGAAAGGCGCCCTGTTAGCGCCGGTACTTATGTTGCTTCATTTTGCAGTGTTTGCATTTGTTGTAGGCTTTCTCATATAACTGTGCCATTTAACTGTGCATGACATTGTTTTCTGATCTGATGTATATTGTTTTCATCTACACACCTATTAGTATATTGTTCATTGCACCAATATTTGGGTTTAATCACAAAATAACCTGAAGAAAAATGACTCGGCGCCTGCACTTTCCTTCGGGGTCAATATTCAGGAATCTGTAGCATGCAGTTAGTGCAAAACAACAACACAGAGTTTGAACTTTGTTCTGCAAACCAAATGAGCATGCATTCAAATTTTATTCTAATGTCTCGTTTAATTTTAACTAGTCTTGTAATTTGCGTGCTATACCGTTGCAAGATAATCGCAAAAATGCAGCATTTAGAACGTCTTGCTTAGAAATAGCAGGCTTATTAGAGAGACCAATGTGTTTTCTTGGAATAAATTAATTTTGTGTGTTTTCCACTTTTAGTATTGCACTTGAAGGCTTACAAATATTAGCCCTAAAGATGCACTCCAGGCAGATATAAAAGAAACAAAGTACGCAGATATGTATTCAATAATGCATCTTTAAACCGTATCTAAACCCAAAAGAAAAATGTTATATATTGAATCTTACCAGTTCTTAGATGTGATGGCTGCAATAGTTTTCTTCTTTTTTTTTTTCACCTGGTGATCCGGTCAGTAAGTTATATTTTCAACTTCCTTTAACAGGCTGAGCTTTCCAGCAAAAGTAGCATTTAGAGGGTTGAGGCAATCCATTTAACACTAACAATCTATCTATCCATATATATCTATCTCTATATATAATCATCTGTATATATTGTTTTATATATAAAGATAGATAGATAGATATATCTATATATATCTATCTATATATATAATCATCTGTGTGTTTAGGTGTTTTCCTGGGGTTGAGCTTTGAAATAAAATAGAAAAAGCATTTTTTTTTTCTGTGTGATAAAATTGTGCATTTTCATGTACTAAGGCCTTAAAGGACAAATTAACCAGTGAGCAAATAATAATTAATGATTGAATGTTTAGTTGAACTTTGAATGGATACTCAAGCTGACCTTGGTTTTTTTCCTAAACGTCCCTTGATAGGTTTACATACATGAGGTGTCAGGAGAAGGTTCAGGAGCAAATCATAGAGTGCTTCCAGTTGGGTGGATAGCAAGCTCGATCACCACAAAGGAATACTTTGCATAAATTACAGGCTGATCAGTGCAGTGACCAGATACACAGAGTACTGTATATACTGTGTGAGATGAAATTCTTTCAATCAAAGGCTGCTAGTATAGGTCAGTGCATTGAAATGAAGTGCAATTTATGCTGCAATAGGAGGATGTATTTATATGTAATAAGCATGTGTCATTCTGAAATATTCCTGTCTTGGAGATTGCAAGGAAAATAAATTTTACAGATGTCAGGTTTAGATAATAAGATACTGTAAAGCCCAGCTACCCATAAAAGTAAGACTTCATTTTACTGTAGCCAATATAAATTTCAGTCATATAAAATCTTAGAATTCAAGTTATCTAAAGTTATTTATATTTTTTTCGTTTTGGGTAAAATGTGTCAGGATTTGCAACCCTGGTAAGTTTGTATTGCTGTCTGTGTCTTTGCTGGGGAGATTCACCCTCTCTGTTTGTCCTAGTGAGCATCATCACTGGGACTGAAAGGAAGGGAAAATCCAAAAATTGGAGTTGGTTATAGAACTGAATCAAATTCTTTAAATGGCGTGACTTGCTGCAAGGGCAACTGTCTGAGATGATTTCATTTACTTTGTAGTGAAGTTCTCTTGCTTCCTGTTATATCTATAGGACTGGGAATGAATGGTAATCTACCAATGCAACACATGCTAGTAAAGAAAAAAACAACAGACATTTTTAACCTTTCCTTAATCTATCCAGAAAAAAATGTTGGCATTAGATGTACATTAATTCTGTTTAAAGCCCAACTCCCCCCTCCCCCCCCTCCCAGGGAACCCTCTTGAACAACCCCAAAGTAATATACTAGTTGTTTTATATACTTGCCTTTTTCTGATGCCTTCTTGCCAATTAGGTGACACGTTGGGTCTTCTTCTCCTCCTATGAATGAGGAGGAGAGAGCAACACATACATAATGATATCAGCATTACTCTCTGCATGAAAAAAGTAAAGAGTGCTGCAGTAACAACCACTCAGGGACCAGTGCCATGACCCTCTGTACCCCAAAGACTGAGGACATCTTGTGGCAGAGAACAGGTACTGCAGGGAATGTTTCAGCTGGAATGGAAGTATTGCAGCAACAGATTTTTAGGTTATAGTTCATACTGTTGGCTTTATAATATGCCTGATCTGTCAATGTTTCCCTGTAGCAATTTGGCCAGTAGACTGATAAAGATTGAAGATGGGGGTTAGAGAGCGCAGGATAAAGTGAGAGGGTGACCAGAGTAGTTTTGAGGAGACAGGGTCTTAAGAGCAGGTGGTTTGGAGGGCGTCAGAGAAAATATTAGCAATATCCTCTATATTAACAGGGTCAAAAGAAGGAAGAATTAAATGTTGTTTTAGACATGGTATGTCAGACGAAGGAAATGTCTGGACAGTGGTAATCTCATCTTGAATTGTACCCATCCTGCATGAAATGATTGTCAGTGTCCTGTGCAATGAATGAGTTTGTGTGGGACAAAGTAGAGAGGTAGAAGTAGAAAACAAAAAGTTAACAAGGGCTTGATAAGAGGCGAAGATACCACTTGGACAGTGCTTTGTGGATATAGAAGTATTCCAACACCACCTTCCTTTTGTCCACTGGAGGCCACATGGGAGAGGACAGCTGGAAAGGCAGAGTCAGATTTCAGTAATAGCAAAAATGGGCATGAAAGAGGCCGATTAGTTGCTATTGGACAAAACAGTTTTTATTTCAAATAGATAAGTAGGGGATCTTTGTGTTTGTTTCAATGATTTGACCTTATTTTGATGTCTGTCCTTGAGATGGTTCAAAGTATAGTTTGTGATGGCTGCCTAGAGTATAAAGAAGGAAAAGCCATCGCCGTCTCGTCTTCTGGATGTGATATTAACATTGTATATTTTGTGGCCATGTTCACTGATGTTAGCAAGCACATTATTTTCTTTTATATGAAATTAATCTTTTTATAAAGCGACAGAGGAAGACAACACTTAAACTTGAAGCAAAAAATGACAGTGGAGAATAAAGGTTTGAATTAGGCTTTTGTGAGTTGTCTGAGATGGTTTGTGAATTCCCTCAGATGATTTATAAATAACATCTGTAATATGTATGTTTAGGGACTTTCCATCCTATTAATACTAATAGTGTTTACACTGAGAATTTTGAGAAAAAAAACATGATTAAAATAGTTCCCTCAGTTTTGTACTGTTTTAAGTCTTGCGTACTGTACATGGGCATCAAATGCAAAAAACAAGTCAAATGCGATATGCTTTCAAGTATTTCTGAGTTACTTAGATTTTTCTGTAAGTTTCTGTGATTTGCTTTTTCAATTTCTTTGACTTGTATTAGGATGAGTTTCTCAGTATTCCTTCTATAAACAAAATATCTTCTATCTCGATGCATGTACAGCACTGATGTTCCATTTAAATGCATTAGTCATTAAAGTAGATGACAGTATATCCATCGATTAGTGAAAGTAAACTGAATGTACTGGCAGACCACTTCATTTGGTCATAAAGTAGCCATCTCTATAACCCAAACGCAGTAAAGTAGCTTTTAAACCATATCGGGTAGCTTTCACCTTTTAATGCATATTTAAAACTCTGCCCTGATGTGTAATAGCTGTTAATTTAACTGTATTTATGCAGCTGCCAAGCGATGGTTTGGGGTTAAAGAGTCAGTCCACCCAAAATTTATGTCTTAGCTTTTGCCAATGGTGTAGAGTGAGCGTAATGGCAGACGGGCAGCATTTTACGAAGACACACTGGTGATGAGGTGGGGAGCTTGGCCACTAGACTTACCATTTATGTATACCACTTAGGGTGTAGCAATTGCTTGGGCTGTTTTTCCCAGTCGTTTAAAGCTGTTCTCACTAAATGTACCCTTTGCTATGGGTGGCTGCTCACTGCATAAACAGGCATGAGACAAGTGTGCCTTTTCTATGCACCAATCCATATAAAGAGAATGGTCATTCAGCAGTTAGATTATCTTATTTTCATCTTGTCTATGAACACCTTATTTCCTGTTTAGTTGGTGCTGATATTTATCTGTGGACATTTTAAAGTTGTGTGCAAACTTTCTCAGGCCATATTGCAGAGGAGCTCTAATGAAATTTTTATTTTTCAGTAATCGATCAACGCCAAGCAACCATGACCGAATACAGCGCCTTCGACAAGAATTCCAGCAGGCCCGGCATGAAGACGACGTGGATGAACGCAGGCGTACTTACAGCTTTGAGCAACCTTGGGTGAGTGTTCAAACACCCCCCAATAACTAATGTTAGAAAGAGGTGGTTTATTGACCAGATCCACTCCAGATTAGCATTAGTACTTAAAGCACCAGAGAACCAACTTATGATGACTCACGACCTTTCAACTCATGTCCTTATCCTCACAGCATGTGTCCATTAAAGATAATTTGATTTCATATCTGACTTCGCCATCTGGACGCTTATTTATGAAATATCACATTTCCGTGTTTCTCGCCGTAGCAAATTGTGTTTATTTTACTAAGTGGCAAATACAAAAGTCCCAGATCTGTGAGTGCAAAACTTACTAGGAACTCAAATGGCTCAAAACAAAAGCTGTATTACTTCTAGCTATTGTAGTTATATATTTATCTCGCTGTTCCTTAATTATAGGCCCATTTTTTTCCTTTGTTTATCTGACATAAACAACTGTGGATTTAGATTCAGCACTCCAGACAAAACATTTGCTTTACTTTAAATAGACATTTGCAGTATTGTTAAAGCCTTTACAGTAATTATGGTTGTTTTGTGCCTATAGGCATTGTGTATAATGGTAGATTAGGCTGTTTTACACCTGATCTGTAGATTATTGTCTCATATATGTCTTAAAAACAATTTTACTATCCAAGTGATAATTACTGCTTGCCTTGCATCCGGGAATGCCGATGGAGTAGTACATGCAGTATTTTCTTTATCACGCTAACACCTTGTCTCATCCCAAGGTTACAGTAAAGTATCTCTATGCTTCATGAGCACTAGGATGTCTTATGCTGCTAGTATTTAAGTACAAACAAGTACCTTTTAGAAGAAGAAACTGTTCATTCAGCTGGCTAGGGATTGTGCTTCTCTACTCATCATCTTCTGGTGATTTTTTCCACATACACTGGGAGTATGATGGGGCCGAGGGGTGGACACGGTCTGTGTCAGCATTGGGGCTGTTATCGCTTGGTTTACAGCTTGCTGAGTAACTGACCAGAGATAAGTATGCGTGGATTATTGCCACTTTCAAAATACCCAAACAGTGACAGCGGCCAATTGGCTGCCATCACTTTTCGCCCAGAAATTTTCCAACTGAATCTTCAATTTTCTGATTGAAGGTTGCCACCCACAAATAGGGCCACCCACTGTGCGCGTTTCGGATGGTCCTTGATGTACCGAGCAAAATGTATGCAACGTAAGGCCATCTTTAGTGTTCTGACACCTGATGAGCATGGTTATTCCAGATAAGTAGCTAACCAAGTTGTGAAGGGAGGATAAGAATAGCAGCTCAGGAGCTTTTAACATGAAAAACAAGTCAGCAATATTAGCTGCCATATTTCAGACTCAGACGTTTCCTCATTTACAAAATTGAATACCTTATAGGTTTGCATTGTCAATGGCCCAATAAAGAAGTGCCTTTTTTCATTGATTAACTTTCATATTGATTACCTCCAGACCCTTAATGTGATTTTCATTTTTTTTTTTTAGTTCTTTCCATATTATATTTTATCATACACTTTTATTTACCTAAACTGTGACCAGTATCACAATACTCCTTAATCATATTCAATCCAATCAGCTGTCTGTCTGTTTTTGGATATGTTTAAAAATATATTGAAACATATCGGCCGAAAATGGCACGTTTTGCAAAATGCCATTTTTCTGCTGCTATAGCAGAGCATCCGCTCTTCCTCTCCTCCCCCCTGGGCATTGCTCTGTGTCCCAGCGGGGAGGAGAGTAACTGTCACAGGCGGCCGAGCGATGCGGGAGGAGAGCGATGTGAGTGGCCAGCGTCTCTCCTTCCCGCACTGCTCAGCCTCCTGTGACAGATCAGAGGAGAGCTGGGGGGGGGGGGGGGGGGAGGGCAAACGCGGG